AAAGCACAAGGTGAGCCTCAGGGGCACCCATCCTAAGCAAACCTGTGGCAGTTGGTAACCCACCAGGAAGCAATGCTTAACCTGAAAGATTCTATTGGTTCACACATTTTACTCTCAAAATTCGTAAACCCGAGTGAAAAGTAGGGGAGCCTGGGGAATTATGAAGAGGACTTCATTTTTTAAGCACCAAGGACTGTCTCTCAGGTAGAAGAGCATTCATTGTCTCCTTCCCTGGAAATTATGTCTAGAAACTTAGAAATGAGCAGTAGCCTCTTTAAGTAGCACTTTGCAGCAGTATGTGAACTAAATACAGGTTTTTGTGGCAGTCACGTTCTACTCCCGATTGGAAGGGAATTAGGGGTGAGAGCAAAGAGCAAAATATGTATTTCATGGAAGCTCTGAAGAGCAGCCCGCTGGTTCCTCCATGACACCAGTGATTTAAATCACCGCCTCAGGTCTTTGGAAGTGTTTTAAAAGGGCTGCTCCACAGCATCCGCATTTCTGTGTGTCACTTCTCATGGCCGCCATCTGGAGATTGCAAAGGCTTGGTCTTTAAAGTCTTTCCTTTTCCTCTGCTTGCTTTGTGCTCCTCCCCCAGCTCCTTTGAAGTGACTGGCATGCTCTGTGGGTCTAAGAGCAAACCTATTTTTACCATGATGTTTGGGAATCTCTGGGCACAAACTCTCTGCAGATTAGGTAAGTTACAGGTGCACAGGTTCTTGTTACTCATTTAGCTACCACCACTTTAAAGCATTAATCTGACTCTTCTGAATTTTCCCTTTCAGGCAGCGGGGCTTCCTTCCCCTTCTATTGAGACACTCACCGGCCTTTCTAGTTGATCCTTTCTCTATCTGCAGGGTGGGCTAGGTTCTTCTCATTTTCTTTTCCTCCTCTCCCAAGCCCCCTCTTTATTCTACCCTTTTCTCTCTTCTCTCTCTTTTCAATACTGGAATGTTCTATGGGTCTAAGTCAAACCTATTTTTACCGCAGTGTTTGGTAATCTCTGGGCACAAACTGTCTGCAGATTAGGTAAATTGCAGTATCATCATTTTTCCTGTCTATCCCCCAGTCCTACTTTCTTAGCTATAACTGAAACTACTTTCTTTGAACACAACTATGCAACAATATAGTCATATCCCTTAGACGTAACCCACAAAAAATATCTTCGCCAGTTTATATAACAAGCCCTCACCCGTGTCTATTTCTTCCGTGAGCTTCCTCCTACTGTCACCTTCTCAATCCCCAGGTTTGCTATGAAGCTTCAACTTTGCTTCCTAGAAATGTCAACCCAACATCTCCGGAACTTCTATCTCCAATCATCTTTTCCCAGGCTTCCCATTCGTGACAAACGCTTCATTGTTATACACTCGTGTAGAACCATATTCCTTTCCATTCCCAGCTCAGTTATTTCTTTGTGTGATTTTTCCACTGAGACTTATTTTTTTTTAAAATATATTTTATTGATTTCTTACAGAGAGGAAGGGAGAGGGATAGAGAGTTAGAAACATCGATGAGAGAGAAACATCGATCAGCTGCCTCCTGCACACCCCCCACTGGGGATGTGCCCGCAACCAAGGTACATGCCCTTGACCGGAATCGAACCCGGGACCCTTGAGTCCGCAGGCCGAAGCTTTATTGATTTTTAAATTAATGGCTGCCCTCCAGTAAACTGGAAATACGTTGAGGGCAAAATATGTGAAACACTGTGATTTAAGTCACTAGTTTCAATATTTTCACTTCCATTATAACATTAACAAATAAATCCTTACATTTATTATTTTAAACAGCAGTGTTACCTTATCTCGGCTTTTCAATTAATTCACTATGGCTATTTCCATAAGAGGCCTTATGAATTGAGTAGGAGAAGAATGGAAATTCACATTTGTTGGGTTATTTCATATCATGGACTCAGCATACATCATTGCACAGCAATACGTTATATAAAACACAACAAGCCTAAGATGTATGTGTTATATATGCCATTTGATCTCTTAGGAAAATGAGGCTTCGAACATATAATGACGGCTAGGACTGCCATTCGGTCTTATTCCAAAGCGCTGTTTTTCCATCACATACACCACTATCCCAAGGCTCAGAGCTAAAATCCACCCGAGTGAGGACCATAAGCCTTTCCCTCCCACTCCTTCGCAAGCAGAGAGCTGTACATACTCAATCTTTGATGAAGATGATAGAATAAAGTGCATTTACAGATACCTAAGTGTAAAGTAAGAACAATGGGGTGGCAAACTATTTGGAAACTCAATCACTAACCTTGTTTTAGATCTGTTAAGTAATTTATTAAAACTTAATATTATTGTTCTCTTATTATTATCTACTTTTTTTCCCTAATTTTTAAACATGTAATTTGAATTATTTAAAGCCTAGGGGATTTCAGTTTTCATCAACCTGTTTTGACCACTTGTCAAGGTTTGTGGCTTCCAAGTTCTTCTGAAAAATAATGTAATTGCAATTACAGACATCTCATATTTTGCAAACAATTGGAGTTCCAAGAGTTCACTAGTTCACTTGGAATCATTGCATATTTTCCCATTACCTAATCTAATAAAGGATGGTTATTTCCCAAGCTGGCATTTCCTTTTTCTCTCCTCCCACTCCCACCCCAAAACAACAACAGAGAGAAGTGTAGGCCAAAATGAACAACAACACTAGTTTTGCTGACTTAAGTTCTACAAAATGTTGGAAAGGAGCTTTGTAATTTGATAAGAAATGATCATTTGATAGTAAAGGTTGAAATGCCTGAGAGGTTATTCTTGATCGGCACCTCAAAGATTTTTCTACCTTTTTCTAGAATCTTCTCTTTCTACATTTTGAACTCACTGTTTCTCAAGTGGAAACACTTGAATGAGGGAAAAATAAAGGAGAAAGAGCACACTTTCCTATTCTTTAGCAGCTCATGATGTACAGACTCTCACATCTCTCCAATATCTCTTAAAATCAGTGGTGAGTCTAAGCATTATACCACCTTAAATGTTATATTTATTATCCAAGCAACAAAATTCCTTAGAAGCAATATTTTCCCTATCTCAGTTTTTCTCTCTATATATGAAAGCTAAGAAAGTAATAAAAAGTACTTTCATAGAGTATGCAACATTTTTAAGTGATTTTGCATTTTTGAAAATGTCATATTTATTCCGGTCTTTGAGAGTGTGATATCTTTTGTCATTGTATCAATTTTATAGATTAAAAAATTGGGAATTTGAGGTGTTAGAATTGACTAAACCCTCATAGGCCCCAATGATTAAAATCTAGGCCAGCCATACCCCAGTTCCAGGGCCATTTCTCCTCCACACACTTCTTTTTTATATATCGTTGTCAATTTCACCCACCCTTCTACATCCAGACTCCACAAGTGATCATTTTCACCTCTTTATCCGTAGTATCCAGGACACTGTCTGGCACTTTGTAGGTCCCCCAAAAATGTTGAATAAATGAATTTCAGTTATTATTATCTTAGTAATCTTTGCAACTATGCTATGTAATTGTATTGGTTAAACGCGCCTTTTTAAGTTATCTTTACATTATAAAATGCAGCATAAGAGTGTGGTTAAGAGCACAGGGTAACTTTCCATAATGGATGTTTGTCCTGTGTTGTTGGAGCCTCCAATCTGCAGTCTTATCTGCTGACATTACCGCAACCAGGGCGCTGGCGTAAACAGGAGAAACTATCACAAAATACGTATCTTTTTATTATTATTCTTACCTATGCTCCCTGCTTTTCCAAAAAAATTGATTCATTCTCAAATTTGATAAGGAATTATTCGGCTGCACAACAACAAATACATAAAAACAGCCCCAAATGTCAACCTAACACCTGTGGCTCACTATAAAGAGACTGAAGAATTATTTTTTGAATAAGCGACTTGGTTGGAAAATGTAGCTAGTTCCTACATTGTCTGACCATTGATTCCTGGCATTGTCTTCACTCTATTCATTTAAAAGAGTGAAGTCATATTGAACATAGCCTGTAATTATCACTGCTTGGTTTCCATCTAGTTTTTCAGGCACTGACGATACAGGCCCAAACCAGCTGGTTCTCATTTCAAAGGCCACTTACAGGTGGAGTGGGTCCTTCCAGAACTCTAAGGGGGGGGGGGGGGGGGGGGGCGGGGAGGAAAGGAAAAGAAAGGAAAGGAAAGGAACAAAGAGAAAAGAATAAAGAGGAAGGAAAGGATACAATAACAAATGAGAAAAAAATAACAAAAGAACAGAAAAGCCTCTGCAATAGCTGTGCTTTATTTCCTTCCTGAGAAATGGTCTGAGCCCTGACATAGCCTTATGCACTAATGCTTATCTAGCAGTTAATATGGGCTATAGGCTTCACATGCCTATCATGGGATCAAATCCTCACCAAGATTCTGTTAAGCAACTGCTATTATCTTGAAGAAATTGAGATCTAATGCTTACCTATGCACACATAAATAGAAATGAACCAAGCTAGGACTTCAAGGGAGTCCTTCGAATCTAGGGCCTCTGCGCTTCATCCTTACATTGTACTGCCTTCCAACCACCGTACTTGCGTGCATTGGGCCATAGGGAAGCAGTAATTAAAGTTCTATTGCCTTGCTTGTGCTTCAGTGGCTGCCTTTCTCATCTGAATCCTGTGCAACAACTGATTTGGAGTCAATGGACAGCAAGCACACCAACGCAAAAGCTGTGTAGAACAGGAGCCATAACAGAGGCACCTTGGAGTGGGGGCCACAATGAGTCTTGAAACATCATCTAGTTTTAGTGAAAGTCTTGTTTCCACTAAAAACGATCTTTAAACACGTTATTACATGTATTGCATTCACATCCTCTGTTCCACCCCTTACCTCATAGGTACTGCTGTGCCACCTAGGAGGGGTACAGAATTCAGAGTTTGGTTGCCACCCCTCCAAAAATAATAGATAGCAAAGGAAGGAATCTGAGCACCCTCCAACCACCCTCTCCAGCTCTCAAACCATCTGACTGCCTTATTAAAAGAGAGGAAAGAGATTTACCTGCTGCTACTGAGGCCGCAGCCTGAAAGTCATGTAAACCCTTTGAAGGACTGTAATGGTTTCATCACAGGAATAGCATCTTTTTGACAGACAGGAGAGAAAAGAACTGAACCACTCTGCAAATACTAACCAGGCTATTTTGGAGCAATGGCTATTGCCTTTGAAATCTTTCCTCATGGATCTATACTTAGAATTCAGATGAGCCTGGGGGAGGGGAATGGGACAGTGTTAATCCCCAGTTGTTTTGAAGTTGTCCTGTAAGCAGGTTAGCATTTAAACTGTCCCAAATGGAAGCATTGGATTCTGTGTTTAAATTGTGGGGCTCTCTCCATGAATTTTGTTTTAACCTGTCCTGCATGTAGATTGACACCTCATTCTGGGGGTGACACTTCTCAGTTTTCTTTCAGACTAGATGTTCTAGAGAGCACTGGCTGTAACCACATTGGGAGACCGATGCTCCATGACAGCTAAAAGTTGGATTGAGTTTCAGGAGCTACTATATATAAAGCTGGGGTGACTTATGTCACCGCACTAATTAAATGCCATCTGGGTGGTTCCTCTGGGTTTTTGAGCCCATCACCCAGTTCAGACTGAGTCAGAGGCCAAGGAGGAGAACATGATGATGGACCTTTTTGAAACTGGCTCCTATTTCTTTTACTTGGACGGGGAAAATGTTACCCTGCAGCCCTTAGAAGTGGCAGAGGGCTCTCCTTTGTATCCAGGGAGCGATGGTACCCTATCCCCCTGCCAGGACCAAATGCCCCCAGAAGCTGGGAGCGACAGCAGCAGCGGAGAGGAACACGTCCTGGCGCCCCCAGGCCTACAGCCTCCCCACTGTCCGGGCCAATGCCTCATCTGGGCTTGTAAGACCTGCAAGAGAAAATCTGCCCCCACCGACAGACGGAAAGCCGCCACCCTGCGCGAGAGGAGGCGGCTAAAGAAAATCAACGAGGCCTTCGAGGCTCTGAAGCGAAGGACTGTGGCCAACCCCAACCAGAGGCTGCCCAAGGTGGAGATTCTGCGGAGCGCCATCAGCTACATTGAGCGACTGCAGGACCTGCTGCACCGCCTGGATCAGCAGGAGAAAATGCAGGAGCTGGGGGTGGACCCCTTTAACTACAGACCCAAACAAGAGAATGTAAGGCCACATGCTGCCCAGGCAGGGGAATACATACAGAGTCTGATTAGCCGCTTTCCCTGGGGCTTTCCCATCCAGCTGCTGGGTCTCTTTCCCCGTCCCCCTTCCTCGCCCGCCCCTCCAGCTCCCTCTCTAATGAACCCCCAGTGACCCCTGGACACGGGGTGCCTGCAATAGGCAGGAAATGCGCACCCGGCCCGGCCCGAGGAAGCAGGGGAGACAACCCCACAAAGGCACCCCCATCCCCGGAACCGATGTTTATTTTCTAATCTGCTGCCTTGGTTTTTCTCCAGCTCGAGGGTGCGGATTTCCTGCGCACCTGCAGCTCCCAGTGGCCAAGTGTTTCGGATCATTCCAGGGGGCTCGTGATCACTGCCAAAGAAGGTAAGTGAAAGCAGGGGCGCCGCGCTAGGGAACACCCCGGGAGGGGGCTGGTTGCTCGCGCCGGGCAGGCCAGGCTCAGATCCACAGCAGGGACGCGCGCGCCCGGGGAGAAGTGCGCTCTTTTCGCGCGGGGACCCTGCGCCCCCGGGTTGCCTGAGAGGCCTGGAGCCGGGCGCGGGGCTGCCTCTTCTGCCTTCCTTGGCTGCTATGTTTGTGTGTTTTCTGTGCTCAGGAGGGACAAGCATTGATTCCTCGGCCTCAAGCAGCCTTCGGTGCCTTTCTTCCATCGTGGACAGTATTTCCTCGGAGGAGCGTAAACTCCCCTGCGTGGAGGAGGTGGTGGAGAAGTAACTGGGAGCCGGCGTTTGGGATGATCGCGGCAGCAGGGAGATCCCACCCTCCCTCCTTCGACTAATCCTTCGGATTAGTTCACTTTACATTCACGTTTAGAAACCCAGACCGCAGAAGTTTATGAAAGGGAAGGAGACACAAAGAAACTTCTCCGAAACTGTTGTGCACGCTCGGATGCCTTTGGGCTCTGGGCTTTAATTTTTTGGAACAGCGAGTGGCGTAGGTCTAGCAGCCTTACTTTGCTACTGTTTGGTTGGTTTTATAATATATTTACTTTTATTACGGTGATTCTTTTGTGCCATGATCAAACGAAGTTCATTCCTGTCTAATACAAAGTGGGAACGTTGCATTTAAATGTTAGGGGTATTGAATGTATATTTGTAAATAATCTTAGTACTTTCATTTTATATGTAAACCTAAGAAATATATATTGTAAAGTAACAGATGTATTGTATATACAATGTGAGAGGATCCTGGTATTGTAATATTAAAAATGAGTTTCTGTATGAATAAAGTTGTCCCTATTTTGATTCAGCTGAAAAAAAATATGCTTGAGGTATATAGAGAGCCATATTTTAATTTAGACATCACACCAGCCCATTTATCTGGGTAATTTCTTAAAGCCTGATTTAAAGGAAGGAAAATGGGTTGTTTTTCTATGTCTGAATTAAACTGTTTGCTTTTCTATACGTGAGGAATATCCAGAAGGAAAATGTCCTTTTTTTCTTGTATCAGCATACTTTCTCGTTCTGTTTCTGTCCTGTACCTGGAGCTCTGGGTGAGACTTGCTTACCCAAAGTTGACTGACTTTTCAATCCAGTAAAATCTCATTGTTGCAAGAAATTGCCACACCAAAATTCTTCGCTTGTTTTTCTAAAAGATCTCCAGCTAATTTAGGCCGAATGACTTTCCCTCTTTGACTTTCTCCAGGCCCCCGCCCTTGCATAAAAAGCATTGACCTGGAGCCCCCAGGGGCTGCACTGCCGGGTCTCAGGGACCCTCCCCAGTTTTCTTGAACTAAACTGGTGGCTAGAAGACCGGACTATCCTCAAGGCCTTGTGTGGCCTGGGTTAGTGTTCCAACTAGAAAGAGAAAAGAAGGAGACAACCTATTGAGGTGGGGTGAGGAAGGGTTGCTTCAAGAGAGGGAAGGGTTAAATGCTGAGGGCAAAGGACAACAACAACACACATGAAACCTCTTAGCTGGGCCAAATAGCAAAGCCCCAGAGAGGCTTGCCTCCCCAGGAGCTCCTCAGGGTGAGGATTTTACAACGTGTGCCAGGTTTGTTTATCCTGTAACCTCAGGCAGGAGCGACCACCAAGAATCGCAGTGGGAAGTAAAGCAGAGGAGAGGGGCGAGCCATTTCTTTGGAATCACGACTTCTCTCTTGCATTCTGTAAATGGCACCTTCCGGTGGACTCCCCCTCCCCACTCCTCCCTTCCCTCTTTATCCTCACCGCTAGTCCGTCCTCAGGTGGAAAATGTGAAAATCAAATTGAATTCAGTATTTCCCAGCCCAACCTTGCTTCCTAACACGCCCTTCGGGACCTTCCTGTTGCACAACACAGTTTCAGATACCGCCACAGGCAGCGCCCCCTTCAGGCCTGGAGCAGGAATTGCCCCCTTTTCCATCTCAAAGGGCCGCTCTGAGGGTGATGGTCACTTTGTTTTCTGAGCCTCAAATTTCTCCTAGAATGCTTTTAAAATGCAGGAAGTTTCACAGCGAAAACTGACATTGACATGTAATCCCTCTCAAAGGTTTGAGAAGAGCAGGCGGGAGTGTTAGTGGATTTTGTAAACGGCCTCTGTGGGTGCTGACAAACTAGACTGAATGCAGGCTGCTACTGGGTAACCTTGGACTGTAATTGCTGCTCTCTTCGGCCATTTCTTCATTTATAAAATAATGGGGATAATAATAGTGCTCAACTCCTGGGGCTGTCGGGATTCACTGAGATAGCCCACGTAAGCTGCTTAGAAAAAAGAGGGTGCAATATAAACACTCTATGCCAACTCTCTGTTTTTCATTCATAAATATAAATGGACCATCAAGAGGCTTTTCTCCCACCAAAAGCCACAGTTCCTTCTGATCCAGTCTTTGTAGGGGAAAGTATATTTGACAATGAGACCAAGAGCAACCTGAATGAGCCTTTTGTAGCATTTTACATATTAGCTCATATAATCTCACAACAGGCTGCAAGAGAAGTACTATTGTCACATCTAGTTTAGGGAAAAGGACTCTTTGGGGCAGAGAGGTTCTTGTAAGTATAGAACCAGGACTCAGAGCCAGCTGATATCAAAGGCTTGTTCTCCCAACCACCATGCACCCCAAAAAAGAAGCCTTGGTGAATATGAAGGAACATTCATTGTCTGTGGAATAATTTGGTTCTCTTTGGCAATTATTTACCAAAAACTATGTCTCAAGAAAGATTAGCTAGTAAACTCTACCTTAGAGTAGTAATTTAATTTAAAAATAAGTGGGAAAGCATTTCAAATGATCCAATCAGGACATGTGTGAATATGTCTTGGAGGTGTGTATAACCACTAATCACCCTTTTTAGGTATCTATGTGTGTGTTTTTTCCTGAGACTCAATAAGGCTTTTCCCTGAAATGTGTGTATATACACACACACGCCTATATTTTTAAAAAATCAAGTTCATGCCATAGTGAAATCAAATATCATAATCGACCAAGTGAACTAATTTATGATTGCACACATATTTATAAAATTTGCATTTTAAACTGCTCAGTAGCAGAATGCTTTTTTTCAGTTCATGGACTTTACTTGCTGATAGATTTGATTCAGTCTTTGCAAACCAAATCCTCTCTATCTCTCCTAGTTGGGTAATTTGAGAAATTGTTTAGAATAAGTTTGCCTACAGAAGTCTCTTCGTTAAATAGAGCAAATATTTCCCAAAGACTTCATGTGACCTCCATTGCTATATAGTTAACATGTTAGGCTTTCCAATGAAATCCTTGGTGTGTTTGCAATTAAAGTGTTTTCATTGGACATTAATGATGACAATCTTTATTAAGGCCAAAGCCAAAACAAATAGGACCATGGAAGCAGAAAATCAAGATGTAATAACTTGGTAAAGATCAGTAATTTGGGATTTAAACTGACCCTCCTCTCAGAGACAGGCATAAAGTTATCAAGTATGAAATAAGGAGTGATTTTCTGTTTTATATTACTATAGAAATAATTTGCAAAACATGAAATGTCAGCTTTCTCTATCTTTAATTATCACACCTGAATCATTGAATTCCAAGCCTGAAGGTAGTAGAAATTCACTTATGTCTAATATAATTTTTTTTTTTTTTACTTTTTCACATGTTTGGGGCAGGGTGGGAGTTGGTGCTGAAATTCATTGTTCCCACCTACTCTTGTGACTGCCAGAGAAGTCTTGGGTTGCTAAAGTAACTTTTAACCTAAAGGTATTTTTTACTTAAAGTTACAATGCATTTATTTGTACTTTCTCT